TGGATGCCCTGGAGTTGTGTGATGTGCTTCCTGTGGAGAAAAAACAGAAACACTTACAACCAATACGTTTTAAACACAAATTTCTCCTGACTGGGTGGTGTTGGGTACATCAGTCAGTCCTGGGGAGTTCAGTGCCAGGTGTCAGTGCTGGGGTGAGCTGGAAATACTCAGGGGCAGCAGCATCAGGGTGTTCACAAGGCACATTCCGAGTCTACAGATATTTTTAACCTTGTTGCTGTTGTTGGGTAGCTTTGCTAAATAAATGGGAAGAAATTTGCATCCATGAGGTGTCCTGAGCTGACCTTGCACTGGCTGCTGGGGGTTCATTCCCTGGGCATTTTTAAAGAGGTTTAGGCGAAACACAACAAGTAGCAATTCCCCAAGGGGTGAGCCCCCTCCTCAGTGCCCCAGGTGAACAGTGTTGCAGTGACAGAGCTGCCCTCGCACAGCCGAGTTCCTGCCAGCTTTGATAACGAAGGGAAGCAGCAGCTGCCTCTCTGCAAACCAACAATCCCTCCGTGGCTGCCCCGACAAAGTGCCAGGTGTCAAGTGCCAGGATGGAAGCAATTCCAGATCGCTGCCCGTGCCCGCGGGGAGCTGCTCCCACACCGAGACACGGGAACGTGCGGGTGGATGGAGAGTGGCCACGAGAAGTGTCCCTGCTGCCCCCATGGCCCTGCTGTGCCAGGACAGAGCGCTGTTCGCAGGGCACGACGTGCCTGGTTCAGCTCCCAGCCCCGGGGGATGCGGGAGGGGGTGATGGCAGCTCTTCCCTGCCTCCTGTTTTCAGCTGTTTGGGTTTGCGTTGCTGGCAGATCACGGGGGGATGATTCACGGCGTGGGCGGGTCCCGGTGGGCGTGGGCAGCGGGGATGGATCTCATCTCCCCTCCTCCTCTGGACTCCACGGAGGCTGCCTTGGTGTCGGCTCGTTCAGTTCCCTGGCTTTGAGTAATGTAAATTGGAGATTTGTTCCTCTTTACCGGGAAGAGAAAATCGGTATTTATTGGTTGTTGGTGGAGAATGCAGCTCCTTCCTGAAGAGAATGAAAGCTTTCAGCAAAGCAAACAGAGGTCAGATGGAGCAGGTGGAACAGCCAGGCCTGAGCAGGGAGTCAGGCTTCTCGTTCCAGGGACAGCAGCTTGTCCTGCCAGCACAGCAACTGCAGGTCTGGAAAGGCCTGTCTGGCCAGGCCTGCTGCTCCAAAAAGTTCTCTGTAGGTGTTTGAACTCTCCCTGTGGCTGTGGAAGCTTTATTCAGTATTTTTTTAAGATGCACAGTAAAACCTTCTGCAGGCTAGTAAGCTTCCTTAGGTAAGTTGTTTGGGTTTGGTGTTTTTTTTTTTTACATTTTAGAGTGACAACATTTAGGACAACTCCTGGTCTCTGAAGGAGGCAATAGCTTGTCATTCCTTTCATAAACACCACTGAGTTTCTTAGGGGAGGTTTGGTTTTGTCTTTGCTGTTTCCCGCTGCGGGCTGTCACAGAGCAGCTTCCTCCCGTTCTTCCCTGCCCTCCAGGAGCTGTGCAGGCGTCATTGTTGCTCTACACCCATTTTTTAAGCCTGTTTGTCTCCTGCCATTGCTGTCCCAGCTCTGCAGCTCATCTCTGGTGCTGCTGCTTGTCCCCTGTGTGCAGCCCAGAGGTGCTGTGTTTTTTGTGGAGGAAAACCAGAATCCAGGCAGCTTTGGGAAAAACCTCTGAAAGATCAACTGTTGTGGTGATTGTTTCTACTATGAAGCTGTTTGTTCTTTGGGGTGACTTTTCTTTGTAAAAATAAAATAAATGCCAGTGTCACTGAGCCTCCTGGGGCAGCACAGCAGTTGGGGCACCTGCTTTGTCAGAGCCTCAAAGGTGGGGTCCTTCACCTTCATCTCCCAGAGTGAGACTTGCCAGTGCATCACGTGGGCTTGTTTTTGTCCTGGCAAACAGGAGGAGTCTGTGCTGGGTTTGTTGGGGGTGCTGGGTGGTGATGCTGGAGCAGGGGGTGCTTTTGAGGGAAGGCTCTGCCTCAGGTGTGCAGGCACCTCCCTGGGACTTCCCTGTCCTCGGAGTCACTGCTTTGGTAAACCACGAGACCCGGAAGCAGGGAAGATTCTTTTGCCTGATTTAAGCCTAATTTGCCTTCTTTAAAGCTGATTTATCCTTATTGTGGGCACGGGTATAATGGCAACCTGAGAGGGTGTATGTGGGTCACCTCCAGCCCGAGGGGCAGGTGGCATCTGCTGTCACCTGCAGGAGCTGCTCTCTGCTTGGTCAGAGCTGTGCCTTGCCCAGTTGCCAGTGTGCTGTGTCCCTGCCAGTTGGCTCAGAATGAGCTGGTGTAACCACACTCTGAGATTTCCTGGGAATACTCCCCCTGCTGCCTGGAGAGGGGCAGGTTCCAGGAGTCCTGGGGCTGGTGTCCTGGGAGGCTGGAACCCAAAATGTGAGAGCTTAAAGTGTTCCTGACAGTGCCCCCACTGGCCTGTTCCAGCCCTGGACTGCTGCTTTGATGCCGGGAAAAGTTCCTCAGGAGCAGCCCGTGTCCCTGTCCTTGTGAGCAGCAGCTTCTGGGATCTGAGCTCTCTGGGGAGGGCAGGGAAGAGGAAGCCCCTGCATCTCCCTGGACCAGTGAGTTCCTCCCTCCTGCCTGGCAGCTTTCCAGTTCAATCCTCGCCTTTTCCATGTCCCGATTTCCTCAAGGTGTCCCTCGCAGTGGAACCCACACCTGGCAGTGCCGCCCCTCTCCTGTGTGTGTGGGGTGTTCAAACCTTTGCAGGTTATTGACAATGAGCTGAAGGACTTCAGAATGCTGGAGCCTGAGGAAGGCACGTGCTGGAGAACTGGGAGTAGAACTGCCACCTGAAATGCTGGTCATTGCCAGGGAGAACTGGGCTCCTGCCCGGGGGGATGAGGCTGGCACGGTCGGTGCTGGTGCTGCAAGGTGTTATCTGCCGTGTCAGACACCCCAGGGTGCTCTGCCATCACCCACCCTCCCGCACAGCTGGATGGATTGGAAACACACCCCGGGGGGGTCTGTGCATTTCCTGAGGAAAAGTGTTCCAGCTGCAGGGGAGCCCGGGAATGCTGCAGGGGAGCCCGGGAATGCTGCAGGGGAGCCCGGGAATGCTGCAGGGGAGCCCGGGAATGCTGCAGGGGAGCCTGGGAATGCAGGAGAGCCCGGGAATGCTGCAGGGGAGCCCGGGAATGCTGCAGGGGAGCCCGGGAATGCTGCAGGACAGCAGCAGCTTGGTGCAGGAAGCAGTTTGTCACTGAGGATTAAAAACGCAGCTGAGGACTAGTGCTGTAACAGGGTTTAATCCAGGAACTCCATGCTCTATTTTCTCCCAAAATATCCCTCCTAATGCGTTTTATCCGGGCATGTCCTTCACCAGCCCGTCCCTGCAGATGGAGGGAGAGGTGATAAAATGAGTATTTTATGTGAGGTGCCCGAGCCAGTGAGGCTCAGCAGGCAGGCTGTGGCTCTCAGAAATCCATTGACGTCGTGTATTTTATTAGAGTCGTGTATTTTATTTGAGTCTCTTATTACACCTCACGTTCAGGCAGATAAATCTGTTTCAGGGCTGGAAATGAAATCCTCCTGTGCTGTCACACACGCCAAGGGCAGCTGAGCATCCTTCAGGAGGAGTAATGAATTGGGCCTGATCTAAATATCAAGGACCTGAGACAAATCCCATGGTGACAGGAGGAGCTGGGGGGAGCTCTGGGGCAGACTGGCTGCTGGAGGCTGCTCTGGAGGGGTTTTCTCTGATCCTCAGCACAGAGGGGCTGGGGGAGGAAGGGAACAACCCTTGGGAAACCATCTGCACGTGTGTGTTGGGATCCCTGTGTTCCTGTGCTCGTACTGGGGTTTAAGGGTGTCCTAAAGAGGACAACCCAGCCTGGATTGCTGTTGGCAGTGGGGTGACACTGTCAAATGGTTTCTGTTGCACTGCCTATAAATTTGTATCTGGTAAGAGGTGGTTGTGCCTTAATTCTGGAAATGACACCCTGGGGGCAAGTTTAGCTTTTCCCCAAATTGAATTTATTCAGTCCATAGCTAATGATAGAAACATCTTGCTTTTGCCGTCCTTTTCCCCAGTTCTGGAGGCATTTTGTTCCCAATCTTTGTCGCTCAGCCATTGTTTTTTGCAATAATCTGCAGAAGCAGATGGGGTGAGGGAGGTGCAGGACGGGGCTGAGGTTCCTGTGCTGAGCTCCCTGTGTGTGATCCATCCTGCCTCGTGGTGGGGATGGGGCTGGCAGCGCTGGGATTTGAGTTTTCAGCTGCTGATTCATGAGTAACAGTGGAAGGGACAAAAATGAACGCATCCTGTTGAAATAAAATTGGTCCTTTAATTTTAAAAAATAAAAGAAGGGAGGAGGACATCTCTACCAAATTTATTGCAGTAACTTTTTTTTTTTAGTGATAGGCTGGAACTGACTCTTTAACTTAATTGTCTTCTGTGTTTTATGGATCTGGGATGTTTCCTATAAAGTAGGAAGTATTTGCATCATGGTATTCTGTGATGTTTCTTTTGAGAAGTGCCATAAAGGGATTCTGGGGTGGGGTTAAACCTTCCTGTGGACCCTCAGTGCTGTACTCTGTGAAGGTGGTGAACATCCAGAGGGGATGTGCTCAAATCCCAGTTTGTGGTGAACATCCAGAGGGGATGTGCTCAAATCCCAGTTTTCTGGGAAGCAGGAGGGTCACACTGTGCTCTAGGGTTGCTCCAGAGCAGAATATCAGAACATCCCAGTGTCCTGTTAGTGGGCATTTTCTGGAGGTAGGGGAGAAAATCCAAGTGCAGAGCTTTGGGGTGGAAGTACCTGTGACACAGCAGCGCTGGGAGAATCCTGGGTGAGGGAGAGGAACTTGTGGATACCAATGGACACTGACTGTGCCAGGACCCACGAGAGCTGTTTTGTGCTTTAGGGGTTGACAGAAGGCTCGAGGCTTGGCTTAGCACCAGAAAAACAGCATTTGGGTTGACTTTTCCCCCCTCTCTCTCCCCCCCAGCCTATGCAAGCAGCGAGATGTCCCACAGATGAGCTGTCCTTGACCAACTGTGCTGTGGTGAACGAGAAGGACTTCCAGTCTGGGCAGTAAGTGTGCACTGCTGCTCTGGCAGCTTTGAACCCCAGGGGAGTGGCTCTCAGAGCTTGGGTGGAGGGGCAGTGGCATTTCAGATTTGGGAGGGTCAATACAGGAGGTTAATTAATAAAACTCCCATGTCTTTAGAGACCAAAACTTTAAGTGTGGCTCTTGGAATGGGAGGGGCTAAAATAATTCTGACTTTCTCTGAAGCATTTCTTCCTTGGGAACTGCAGCTGCTTAACTAACAGGATCAATCTTTTAATGAAGGACTTCAGGCCTTTTTGTGCTGTTGCTTGTTTGTTTTGGTTTTGCTGTTGTTCCTGTTGCACAGCTGGGATGTTTGAACTATTTCAGAAACACTTTTATCATTTAATTGCGGTACTCGGGGCATCTTCTCACTGTCACATCCTATGGGAGTGCAGAGCAGAGTCAGGAGAACTCCCTCTTGTTCTCAGGGTTTTCAAGCACCAAGACAAAAAGGGAAAGGCAGCCAGAGTGTGGGCACAACAAGTTGGATTCTTTAATTACAGCTCTGGGGTAGCTGATAGAACCCAGCTCTGGGTTTTACTTCTGTGAGAAAGGTAGAAAATAGAGGAATTTTTCAGCTCAGCCCACACAGGAGGGTTCTGTATTCAAAGCAGCCAATTAACACGTTTGGTTTCTGTGCTTTGGTGCAGCTTTAGGGAGGCTCTCCCAGAATTCAGGTGGTAGGTTGTAGACAGGAGTAATTAGTTGCAACAGGAAGGGAGTATCACGTGCAGCACAAGGCAGGAGAGGGGTTGAAAACTGGAAAAAAAATGTTAAAGGAGAGACTTGACTGATCCACCCAGATAAAATACCTGCCCCAGGTGAACTCTGCCGAGGGTGGAGGGCACAGTGGGGCTGGACTCAGGGTGTTCAGGACCTGCCTCTGTGCTGTCACTCAGCTCTGCTGCCCTGGCACCTGTCCTGGCCCTTCAGGGTGGGATTTCACGAGCCCAGCTTGAGTATAAAAAGGCAAACCAGATCAAACCCACCCCCCCAGAAACCCCAAATGAGCAGAACTTTTAGAGCCAGCAGCAGGTGAAAGTGTGTGCATTTGGACAGGGAAGTGTCCTGCTCTGTTCAAATGGTGGTTTTCCCCTGGCAGATTTTTTTTTTTCCAAAGTAATTGAGTTACAAAAATACCTGCACTGAGCACTGCAGCTCATGCATTATAGAAACCTTCATTTCCTCAGGTCCTGGGGGGACCCAGCTGCCAGCCCTGCAGCAGGGGCTGTTGTTCCTCTGGCTCCCAGAGCCCTGGGCATGGCACTGGTGCAAGTCTGCAGGAAGCAGAGCCCTGAGGAGTGCTGGGTGAGCAGCTGGCCGTGGTTCTGGCCAGGCTGATCCTCCTGAGAGCTGCTTGTTTGCAGCACTGAGCGCTCCCCCAGGCAGCAGCCTGTGCTTGGTGGGAGCAGATGCTGTAAATTGCTTTGCAGAGCACGGGGAAGCTCCTGGTGTTCCTGCTGAAGGCTGGAGTCAGTGCTGCATTGCAGATCCCTGGAAGCAGCCCCAGCCAGCCCTGCAGTGCCTGTACCTCGTGTGTCCCCCCACGGTGGCCTTGGGGACGGTCCCACACAGGGCTGGGCTGCTCGGGGTGTGGATGTGACCTTGCAGCGGGGAGCTGGTTGGTTGAAGCCCAGGGTGCTGCTGTCCATCTTCATCTGCACACCCTGGGGGCTGGGCAGGGAGGAGTCACTGCTTGGTGCTGCAGGAGTTCACGGCAGGCCACGCTCTGCATTTCGGGGACTGGCACTGCCTTGAGTTCCCATGGCCTGCTTATACCTTGAGGGCTCCTGGGGTAGTTTGGAGACAGAAACAGGTGCTGAACACACCCAGGCAGGGAGGGGACAACAGTCAGGGCAGGTTGTCTCCATGGCAGTTCTCTTGTTCGTGTGGAGAGCTGACTAATTGTTCTTCCCTTTCATCCCTGCCTTTTCCATGGGAACGCCATCCCTGCTATCTGATGCCAGTGCAGTTGCCCGAGGAGCCCTTGAGGAGCCTTGCTGAGCAATGGCTGCAGCTTTCCAGACATGCACCAGAGCAATACCTGCCTGCAGGGATCAGCTGCTTGCTGGCACCTCTGCCAGACACCTGAGTCATGCCCTGCCTCCTCCTGAGGGCAGGAAACTGCAGCACACACAGCCTGGTGTCTGGGGGAGCTCCTGCTGCTCTGCTCAGCGAACGGACCAGCAGCTGCCTGGGCCTGGCCTGGCGTCCTTGCTGAGAGCTGCCATCACACACTGGGGTTCTCACCATCCAGGCAGGGCTTTACTGGTGGAACAACACAGCACTTCCACCTGGGCCAGCTCCTGGCACCTGCCTGGCCCTGCTGGTTCCTTGTTCCTTTCGTTCTTGAGGTTGAGATTTCCCCTCTGTGTCTCTGAGCTCCTTCCTGGTGAACACCAGTGTAGGAAAATGCATTTAGTTTGTCTGCTGTGGCCTTGTTTTGAACATTTGTAATACTTAGGTTGCTTCCAGCCTGGTGGAAGCTGCCTGCTCCTGCTGTCTTTGAGAAGAAATGTGGTTGTTCCTGTGCCTTTTGCAGATTTTTCTCACAGAATCTGTCAGGATTTGACCTTTCCCAGTATTTTCTTTCAGAAAGCTGATTTTTTTTTTCTTTTGATTTTTCCTGTTTTTCCTTTGCTTTTTTTTTTTTTTTTCCTCTTTCCTGGCATCTCTGCCTGCTCTCAGCTCTGCTGTCTTTCTGTGTGGCTGGCAATGTTGTTGGTGAATTATATGCTCCAATACAGTAATTTTCATTTGTACCAGATCCTGGTTGATATTCCCTTCCCCCTGCAGTATTGTTACTTATTTTCCTGCATTTTCCCTTTGTGAACTGAAGCCCAGCACGGTGAGTTTGTTTCCTCCTGCAGAGATGCCGGATCTCAGCATGTTGTGTGCAGTGCTCAGGGTCCATCCCAGGCTTAAGGAGCTTTAATCCTGGATCTTTTGCTGTCTGATGAGCTGCTTCCAGCAGGGTGTTGGTTGTCATCAGGTGTGTTTTGTGGTGGAGTATCCCAGTGGCAGAGCTGGAATCTGTGTGCTGCCTATGGACGTGTTCCCTCCATTGAATTTCCCGCTGTAAATCCATGCTGACTATTCTTAAATCCAAGCTGGAAGTGACTCCCAGGGCTTTAATATGTTTGGCTCCCAGGATTAGTTACTCCCTCACTTCCCTGGGGACTGAGGGGGGCTGCCCAGCCTGTAATTCCTTGGATCTTCCTGCCTGAAGGCAGGAGTGACATCTGCTGTCTCCCAGTGCCCAGACACCTTCCCTGGTTGCTGGGCAGTGCCAGCAAATGCCTTGCTGTCCCCAGTAACACTTGCAGGGAGCTTCCCCAGCTGTGCCAGGCTCCTGGAGCTGTGCAGGGGCAGGAGGAGGAGGAGGCAGGGGAGGGGTGTGTGCTTACAGCTGGGGTACCCCAGGGGCACTTCCAGTGCAGGCAGCTGGGAAGAGGAGGATGAGGTGGAACCTGATTCCATCATCACCCCTGTCACCAGTGCACACAAATCCCAGCTTCCTCTGGCTTTGCTCTGTGCTGCCAAGGCAGGCTGCCTGTCACATGAGAACAGCTATCAGGCAGAGGCTGAGGAGAGCCATAAGCAGCTTTGGAGTATCTTTGTTGCTGACAGCTTAAATTGTGAGTGTGACAGACAGGCACACGCCACTGCT